TTCGGGTAAACGGCTCAGATCTACAGCAAAAATGACCAAATAATCCCATGTTTCTGTCTATTTTATGGCATGTAAATTGACAGCTTTTTTAATTTAATGTACAGTCAATATTCTGTAACTAGACTGATCGCCTGAACAGAGAAAAAACATGTTGCTTTGTTCTACCATGGGGAGGGGTATTTATTCAATTTTGGCATCCGACCACTAGCGTACATATTTCCATTGAAAATATGGCACATTCTAGCCGGCTCAGAATTTATTGGATGATTGTCGAACATAAAAGTACTAAACAATGTAATTTAGGTCTCCCCGAGTACAAGTTGTAAGGGGCCCACATGAAGACTGTCATGTACATAGTTTATTGTTGATCTGAACGTTTAACAATAATTAAAAAAAAAAATATTTTGCGTCTGAAGCTTGATGGGATACATCGCGTCTGAGAATATTGCCGACGATGATCACAAAAACACCTCCATGAAAGCCTATGGTCAGAAGAGTGGCAAGTATTATAATCCGGCATAGTTATGTTTTAATGTAAAGAAATGTAACATTGTGTTACAAAAGGTGAGCGTAGAATAATATTTGAAGAAGAATAATGATATTTTTTCTTATAGTAAAGAGATAAAAACGCAGTGAAATGTCAAAAACGATTCTAAAATTTCGTAGGTGTCAGAACTTATTAGCATCTCAACATAGGGTTGTCGGAATATAGTAATGTCGGAACATAGGGGTGTCGGAATATAGGAATGTCGGACTATAGATGTGTAACCCCGAGGAGGGATGTGCCCCCCTCAGAAGGTAGACATTTTTGAAAAATGCAACTGACCAAAATGAAGTCATTTGGTGCATACTTAGGGATCCTCATTCTTGATCATTAAGAATACAGTACATGTACACAGAACCAAATGCCTTACACAAACACAGGCTTTGATATAAGCCTATTATTGATATTTGGGTAAGTCTGAAAAGTGGAGGGGACAGTTGATATTGTGTCCCCCACCATTCAGAAAGTGGGGGGGGGGCGTGTCCCCCTTGTCCCCCCATGATCGACGCCCCTGTCTTTAGCTGAGATTCATTACGCCTCTAAACAAAACAAAACAAACGTAGGGAGAAGAGGCAGTGTCTTGAATGTCTGGAAATGTCGCCTGGCACAACAAATATTCAGAAAAAATTACAGCGAATGTCACGGTGATTTGAGATGTTTAGTTTGACGTCGCAATTTATTGATATAAACCGGGGAAACACATTGGTTATACAAATGGTACTTAAACATGAGTATGTATTTCGTAGCTGCCGAGATATAAATATGGTCACGCTTTCGAGTGTACGATGTCCCCTCCCATTTAGAACAGGAGGTATTTGCGTCGTTACAAAGTACACTGAACTAAATAAATTGCAGATCTTGATAATCGACGATAGAGGGCGCTATACACACACCCGTGTCGTTCATGTGGCGTAATTCGTGTCGGGCATATGGCTGTCAGAATCACATCCCCGGGAAATGTTGTGCAGTTACTGCATATCGAGCCTCTCACCATGCGACTCGTTTCGTGATTACCCCTTATTTATGATCAGTATCACCCGCAGAACTTGGTATATTCACCGTGGTTGCGAGTAACACAGGGTGACCTTGTACTGACACACCTACCTTGCATTCATATTCATGAACACACATCGTGGATTTTTTGTCCCGGTAACCTATAAGTGTAAAATAAAATAAAAAAATAATCAAGTATGAAAACGTAATTAAAGATAATTGTTGTCCCACGGATAAATAAATACTATTAATGCAAGATCTTTTGTGCACCAGTGCGGTGGCCGAGCGGTTAAGGCGTTGGACTTAAGTTCCAATGGACACTAGTCCTCGTGGGTTCGAATCCCACCCGCACTAGTAAATTTTTTCTTCCACAAGTTGAAACAGTTAATGATTTGGTACATTAGTTCACGGGTTAGTTTGTAGATGTTTCATGCTATTTATTTTGTTGCATGCTTTTTTGTTGACGGGGCAAACGCACCTGTGCCGCGCGTGCGCAACACGTTATAGCTAGAGGGCGTCCTAAATTTTGCGAAGTTAGCCACCCCAAAATACCAAATGTAGAGGGGAGGCAAGGGGGGGGGTAGCTGGTACGGTTTTACGGGAAATAAAAAGGGCTTTTCACAATTTACGAAGAAAAAAAAGGCGTTTTTACAGTTTACAGTGTTAACAAATGGAACATTGAATAGTCCGAAGAGCTCTCCGACTCAAATTTTCCACCATTGCTGCGCCGTGTGAAGAGACGCATGCGCATATTACCCTCGTAATGCTCTTCATTCGGTTAGAGGGCCTTTTACGTCGTGACATTCAATTTTGTAGTGAATTGTGTCATCTAGTCGTTTTACAGTTTCTAAAATGTAATTTCCCTGGATTATTCTTTACGATTTTTTTTATTTGGATGTGAATTTTGTACGTACGAGAAAAATGACACATTTTTACAGTATACGAAAAAAATATTTGATTGATTACGTTGTACGTCTAGCCTGTGATTACAGAATTACGGAATTTATTTTTTCTATTTACGTTGTACGAACAAAAAAATATTGCAATTACGTTGAACGAAAATAACCCTTGCCCCCCCCCCCTCAAATGTAATGTGTGGCTAGGAAGATTTATGTGGTCGCATTCTCAACAAACAATGAAATGTTTATGTTTTTGACTGACGCTTTGTGAATAATCCTACAATTTGATCAAGCAAAGAAAATCTTGTGATTGTGTTTAGATCTTATCAACTTGTTGTCATTGAATATAAAGCACCTATTCTACAATATGAGTCAAGACTATTCCAAGTCTACCTACTTTTATGTAAGGGATATTTGGATCTACATGTAATTCCTTTATTTTATATGGAAGGGCGAACATTCAAAACTTCCTTTTCTAAAGAACTTGAGCGCTCAACTGGAAAAAGCTCAGTAAGGTGTGCGAATTTTTAGCTCGATTTAAATCCTAGTATCATGACATATGTTTTTAAAGTGCTTTTTGTTTTGTTTCATAGCCGGTATGATAACCAACAAGCGTTCGAATTGTTGACGTCATCATACGGTGTAAAACCTCCCGAACACGTTTTGCTAGCTCGATGCAGATAACTCCCTACTCAATGTAAACATACTCCCAACGAACGTGAGGCGATAGCCGAATAAACGAACCTTGGCTAGTGAAAATAGAGTACTCCTTGCTACATATTTAAAAAAACAACAACACATTATCCACCCGGGTGCTTATAGTACCAATTCTATATTCTTATTATGCGTTAATATTACCTCTTTGTGTTCAAATATAATGATGACTGGGTCAACCAAGCTCGTACTACCAGAGTCTTCTCCGAGAACAGCACCAGAAACAACGTCAGAATTAACGTAATTAAGTTTTTGAATCCTTAAAAATGAATAAAACAAAACGCATATGTTATAACGTAGTGACCCGTGGAAGACATTACATGCAAACACATAATACTATTACAAATGACCACTCACATTCATTACATGTAAGATACATCATGAATAATGCATTTATCATATTGTCAAAATACAAGATAGAATACATACCCTCGACTATCAACTGGCAGGTCTTCTGTGTCGTTCATGGTGTCGTTATAGAGAGAATATAGTTCACCGATAGTTGCAAATTTGGCAGCAAATATACTAACAAAACCATCTGATAAGAAAATAACCGATTAAGTATCTAAATGAGCTCGACACATCATTATAAAGTAGCCAGGTTTCCATGGTCTCTACGATCTACGTAGTTAACAATTTTAGTGGACTTTCTCAATTTTAATTGAGGCACTATAATATCGACTATTTCTGAATCATGTTATAGCGTACATTGGTCACACATTGAATAGTTGTCGTTTGATAAAAAATACGCAAATGCGCATGTGTTTTAAATTCCTAGTACGAACCAATATATGCTGTGTGTGTATGTTAGAAATGTTATTACATACCCCTTTTCATTATAAGTTGAAGACTGGATGCTGGTAAAGGAATAATAATTTCACTGCTGTCATTCAAGCTACCACGACTTACAATTTCATTCGAAGGATCCCACTTTTCTAGGGAACCCGGCGTTTCCATGACAACAACCACGAACACTGAAATTGTATACCATATAAGAAAGGCAGGGTATTCTTGCTATGCATGGTAATGTTTGAGACTACATTGATTCTATCAGTGTAGCTGATATAGCATATATTCTTGCTCGACAGGGGAAAATTTAGGTTGGATGTAGCTCACCTAAGTTTGATGACGTAATTTCAATTTTTTCTTGAATTGTTTCTTCTGTATTTCGTCGTCTTCGTCGTTTCATTAGCTGTGTTTGATTCTGTGCTATACCACGTGCTAAAAGCTCCGTACTAGCCACCATGGAAGTAGCACCAGATGCTACGATGTCCTGCAACAAATGGGAAATGAATTCATGAAAAAAAAAAGAGCATCATACGTATTTTTAGTAATAATAGTCAATATTTTAATTTTTATTTTTTCCAAATAAAACTTGCATACAGTATTTTGTTTATTTGTTGGTGTGTTTTTTTCAATACAAAAGTATAGCTGTGTATTAGTAATACTTTCACCATTTACACCATGATATTTGATTTTAATGAAAAATACACCAAAAAGTAAATAAGAGACTGTATGCAATTCTAAGATCAAATTGTTAAACGCGAGTAATCACCAATATACAATTAGTGTGGCAACAGGCAGAAGCGAATCAGTGGGGACAAGAATAGGAATGTGTATAAAAGTT